CAGTCAAAAAAATAAGTGTTTAGTGTTATCGAAGTACCCCCATTCAGACCCTCTGACAAGGATGCATCGCTCCAAATATTCAGAACGAGACTTCTCTGTTTGAGTTCCGAATCCATTGGTTTCCGTCGATAGGTTTTTTTTCTTGCTTCTGGCCAACAGCTGAGTTATAAATAATGGAAGAGCAAGGAAGCTTTAATAAGAAATGACGACAGAAGTACAAGTATCATTTGGTAAGGAGTGAATTAAATAAGATTACTGTGAAGCGGCGGTCTGTAAAGCTGGGATATTAAATGGTACTTTCAATAGGCATCTGCTACATTTTAGAAAACAGAAGTGTCCATTTTTAACGGACTAGCGAAGACTTACTTAAGATGTATTTGTAGTAGAACTCACAACTCAGCTCAACACTTTGCAGATAACAAATAACAATTGGTTCATATGTTCGCGTACGTTCATCGAAGCACGCGGGAAGTTTGGAGAGCACGAAAGATGCGTAAGAGTTGCTCGAGGCGTAGCCTCGAACAACTCTAGCTTCTTGAGTGGTTCACATATTGATGAACGCACAGCTGACGTATGAACCAATTGCTTTATGACATTTTCAACCCGATGGAAATTTTTTTTCTCGAGGGATTTGTTTGCTGACGTCATGAGCATGCACAATAGGTATATGAAGCACGCTCGCGCAATTTAATTTGAGTGGACAAATTTACTAGCTATGTTATAAATTGTTTTGAATAATTCAAACATTCAATGAATGAACGTTGCATTGATTAGTTCAGTAATAAACAAATACGTCACGTTTTAACTTTCTTAGTTTGAGGGATTATTAATTATTAACTGTAGCAAGGAACACTCAGTGAAGTTGTCAACCATGTTTAAACTTTTTTGACACTTGCCACGACAGAATTCATTTTCAAATGAATTTTTTGCAGGAAACCAACGCGATTATTTTTATTTTCTCACGATCTTACTATATCCTTACATTTTTTCTTTTTTCCTAATGTGCTGTTTTCGAGGAGCAGAAGTTTCTGCTCTTTTTGGTTGATACAAGGGTTTTTTCGTTGGTGTAGACAAGCACCGCTTTGAAATGATTTCTCCGATTCTTTCGTTGCTATGATAATTTGTTATCTCTATCTCACATATAGGCTGGAAGAATATACGCTTGGAAAAAGAAACTAAAATGTTTCCTGAACATCGAGGATAGCCAACGACAAGTATTGATCTTCGTTCAGTGATGACTTGTATTTTGCAGATCGTGTAGCTATTGTAATTACTAAATGAAATTATGCTGAAGTTAAAAATCTTGCCATCGCCTGTCTTAATAATGTAGTTTTCCATATTACTCTCTATCCAAAAAGAGATACGTTTTTGTTTCAGCTTCAATTCATGATGATTATCTGTAGTTATTGAAGATATTTCATTTTTGAGACTTCAAATAAAAGAAGTTGTCTACATGTGTAATGGCGTGGTGATCCAAGAGTGCGTTACATATATTAAATCTATGGCTTAATCGGTCCCTGACTAAGCTACTTTATTTAACATTCCTATTAAGGCTTTTCAGATTTTAATTACGATGAAAAAAAATGATATTTAAAGAATAAAAAAACTATAGTAATATCATAATGCATATGATAATCATATTTAAAAACTATATCATTACTCCTCAGAAATATTCTATAAAACCAGTTTAAAACTTAAAAAGAGTCAATACATCTAACACTCTCGGGCAGATTGTTCCACATTGTAACTGCTCTATACAAGAAACTGCCATGACATGCAGATGAGCAGTACTTCGGAATCTGCCACAGATTCTTATTTCTAGTGTTGCGGCCGTGGATGTCTGATCTTATGATAAACCCGTCGCTCAAGTACGATGGAGCTAGACCTTTGAGGCAATTAAAAGCCATAGTAGCATCTCTTAATCTTAGTTATCCAAGGTTTATTTGGTTTACTTTGGTTTTCCTTCGTTTTTAGAGGAGCTTGTTCATTGCTTATGGTATAAAAGATATGTAGAAATCTAGTACACTCTCATTTGTTACAGCAGCTTTAACTACAGGAGACCAATAGGCCATTTTCGATATATTAAAATTCAAACTTTGCTCTGAGGCTTGGAGGAATAAAACAGAGGAAATCACATCGAGGTTGGGGAATGAATAATTATATATTTTTTTTTTGTATTTCCCATAGCCTCGGAGCCACGTTAGAATTTTAATGTATAGAAAATGGCCTATTAATCTTTCTTAAATCAGACAAAAATTGATTTTTTCTGTCAAATTCATTTTTTTATTTGCAAAAACTTCCTGAATTTTTCAACGATCCTGATGGCCTAAATTATCAGAGGATTGGAACCCTCGGATGTCGTATGTTGAGTTTAAGTATTATTTCATTTTAGTATTAGTGACAAGTGTGTTAATATTAATTTCTCCAGGATTAAGACGGTTACGTTACGGTTCCACCAGCCGGATGCATTGTCTCTTCAAGTTTATCAAGAAATTCCTTCAAATATCTATTTGGCTGATTGTTAATAGCCTCAACAATCATGTCTGGTGTCAACATACCTATTTCCAATTTCATTAATTTTTAAATCACCTCTCGTGCAGAAATCAAAATTTTGCTACATTTGCTAAATTTGCGACACTCAGCCTCCAAAAGAGGAATTACGAACATGAGTCACCATACCATAACCTGATAATTCAAAATGCATTATATAATATTACATTGAGATGTAAATCGTGTTTCAGAAAAACCTAACATTTCGAAAAAAAAAGGATTAAAACCGATTATCTCACAAACATCGCCGAGGCGCTCTTAAGATGTTCGGGTGAGATGCTGGTGGCTGTGGCTTAAAACCAACAGAGAGCTGATTATTTAGGGTAAAAATTCCGTGACTATGGTAGGATAATATATCAAATCAGGATCGCTTGAAGAGTAGGCCCTAGCCCTTTACATAAAAGTAATATCTCCCCCTAAAGAAAAGATGACTTAAAACTTGTAAACAATTACGAAATACGAATTTATAGAACATATTTTATAAGCATTTTTTTCTCCAAACGTCACAAGGCTGTTATGAAAATCATAATTCTGATTTTGGGCGGTCACTTGAATCTACATGTAGCTTTGTAGCCGCATTTTCAATCCACTTTTTGAAAATTAATCTAAAAAGGAAGAAAAAGATAGCAGAAATTAGACTATGCAATTAGAAAGTACTGTTACCTTTATGTTTCGATTTTGCCCTCACAATTTTTTGTCTGCTATCTTTCTTGATGGCTGTCTACTTTCGTACCTCAACTAAGTAATTTGTGTTTACGTATCCTGATTAAGTTTTTTTTTCATAGCTTGTAAAAAGAAACAGTCCTAGATCCCAGAATCCCATTAGCTTGTTGAAAACAAATCAAAATTCACAGTCATCACTATTTTAGCTCATTTCTCGTCATGTTTTCTTATACGCGAAATATCCGTGAGGACCTTCAATATTATGCCCGCCACGAGCTCGTGACGAAAACGTCTCGATTTAGGAATATATTAGTCTCGACCATCAAATTTATTGGTTTCAAACCGTAATGAACGCCAAACTTCTTCCAAAGACCGCTTATTCGAAAGCTATCAAGGAAATTAACCACATTCTATTAAAATTGAGAAAAATCGTTTTAATAAAATTGACGCTCGATTGATTAGAGCACAAACAGAATGGGAAACAATACTATCGAAAACACCATTTATCTCAGCTTTTCAGACCGCCAGTTGTCGTCAATATCCTATTAATTATTAATACACTTCCATATTCAAATGAGGAGTTTAAAATTGTTTGAAAACTTGAAGCTAAAATCGAAAACATTCGTGTCCATTTTGATTCAAGCCTCCTCGCTCTTCGATTAACCAAAGCTCAACGGTTGGCTTAAAGTGCGATTGACGCTAGTTATCTTCAGTATCCTATCTGTTTATACATGCTCTCCCATACTCAAATAAGGAGTTTCGAACTGTTTGAAAACTTGAAACCAAAATTGGAAACATTCGTGACAATTTTGATTAAGTCTCCTTGCTCTTCGATTAATCATAGCTCACCGGTTGACTAAAAGGTAAGATTGACCAAAACCAATGGATTCGGAACTCAAACAAAGAAGCCTGGCTCTGAATATTTTGGAGCCATGTATCCTTGTTACAATGACAATGGTGTGCCTGATTGGAAACTGCCTGACATGCATAGCTGTGTACAGGAACGAAAGGCTTCGTACCTCCACAAACATCTACCTGATTTCTTTAGCTATCAGTGATATTATCAACGCTGCCATCGTAATGCCTTTGACTGTGGGTGTCCTTATTATAGGGGAATGGCCATACGGCGAGGCAGTCTGCGATTTCCACGCCTTCTTCACCCTGTTTTCTGTTTACGTATCCCCAACCACGATGGGACTGACGGCCTTCAACAGATACGTCCGCGTCGCTAAGCCTCAACACTACCCACAAATCTTTACTGATGCTCGGTCAAAAATATATGTCGCTGCGGTTTGGCTGACTGTCGCCGGGTACGTTTCAATTCCCAAGATGGCTGGCTGGACCGAATATGGCTTCTTTGCTGGGTATGCCGTTTGCACAACTGTGCAACCCACAGAAACTATGAAAACAGTTCATTATAGCATCGTTGTCTGTTTTTTCTTTCTTCTTCCACTTGGAGTTGCATCAGTTTCCTACTTCAAGGTCTTCAAGAAAATAAAACATCATAATCTGAACATGGCTTCAACGGCCCAAGCCGAGGACAGGGAAAATCGACTGACCGTCAAAGAGATCAAGGTTACCAAATCGCTCGCCATTGTTGTGTTCGCCTTCGCACTGTGTTGGATTCCATTTTGGATCATTGTGGTGATACAGCGCTTCGCTTCTGATGTTGTCGTTCCACGTAACATCCAACTGCTTTGTCCCTTTTTGATGTTCTTCTCGAGCACTATAAACCCATTTATATATGCTGGCATGAATCCCTCATTCCGCGCCGAGTTTCGTCGAATTTTGCTCTGCAAAGTGAAGTCATTACAAGTGTGTAAGGAGCTCCGCGGTTCCGAAGACCTTGATTTAAAGAAAATATCGGCGGGGAGCGACCGCGGAGTTGGATATCAGGAAGAAGAGGGGGGTACTTCAGTCACAAACGTTTAACTGGCGAGTTAAACGTACGAAGTAAACAAAAAATCAAAGGATAAATTCACATTGATTTAAATGCTAAATTTTTTAGCTTTTACTTTCACCACTTTATATTGATTTGTCGTGAATTTTAATCGATATCAGTGCTATCCGTTGTTATGAATCCCTAATGAATTATAACTGCATCATTTCTTAGTTAATTTAAATTCACTTACAGAAATAAGTTTCGAATCCAAACGAACTATTAATGGAGAGAATAAGCTTGGCACAAATAAAGAAACTGTAAATACAACCTCCTCATTATTCTTCCATATTAAAAACCAATCCTT